TTTATTTGTCGCGAGCAAAGATTAGAAAGCAGTACCTGAAATAGACAAAGTCGAAGTTGTTGATGTCCTTGGCGTTGTACAAGATTCCAAGATGGCCCCCAGCACGTGTCCATCCTTGAACGTTGTATAAACTGACAGATATGGTGTATGCTGAGCCTGGAACGGCTTTATTGATCAGTGTTCTRCAAAAGCCAGCCTTTGGCCATGAGCCYTTACCGCCAACCATTTGTACGTAGCGACATGGCGTCTTGATGACGTATTTGCAAGAGGCAGTAGGATTGATCCAATTTCCATATAAACTATCTTTATTGTTACCATTTGTAAGTAAAGCGCCTATTGTTAAATATAAGCATGAAAGTGCATATGAAGCATTTTACAAATCCATTTTTAACAAAAGGCAATTATGATGCTAATCATTGTTTTCTTACACGTTTGTGTAATTAGGTTTATACATGCAAGTATAGAGGGGAACAGTCCCCCTCTATTAACTATGATGCAAGCAAGTTAATAAGCATGGATAACTCTTCCTATGACATTCATGGAATCAAGCATATGCACCATATAGAGTGCAAGTCACATAAGCATGAAACAATTCTTAATTATGTAGTGCTAAATAAGATTTAGTTATCAACTAACTAAGAATTGAGAACAATGCTACAAAGGAATTTAAATAATAAGCATTGTGTTTATGCTTAATTGTTGAATTCTTAGTTAGTTGATAACTAAATCTTATTTAGCAATACATATTAAGAATTGTTTCATGCTTATGTGACGTGCACTCTACTACGAAAAACGTTGACAATGGCGAACAGCGATTGACGAATGGAGATTGCATGATCAAAGGACTATGGATTCGCTGTTCGACAAGCAAAATTTCWYTTACTGGGCTCACCTTGAGTGAAAATGGGAACTTAATACAGCGAATGTTTACCACACACTATCTTAGAGCATAAATCAGTTATTCCCATCAGTTAGAAAAGCCAATGGCTCCTTTCGGTCATGCAATCTCCTTACGACAATTGCCATTCACCATTCGATCCGACAACCTCTTTTTGAAACAGGAACATAAAGATAATGGACTGTGTGCCCATGCAGAACAAATTCGGCGTCTSTGCTAAATAATTAAAAACACTTTTGCATGTTTGAAATAATTGAAAGTGAGTGAGGCATTGGTGTGTTTTTTTTTCATAATGTACACGAATCATCGTTGTAAGGTATTCTAGTTTGACGAGGCTACAACAAAATGGCGATAAACTCACGATTTCATTTTACGAAATTTGATTGAATTCCTAAAGGACTTATTCGTGCTCTACAATWAACCAATATAAAAAATTGTTTCTCGCGAAATTCAAAAGTTAATAAATTTTAGACTAGGGAGAATAATGCAAGGAGAAATGAATCCGTTAAGAGTAAGAAATTTGAAATTTAAAGTAATGACTCAATAAGAAAAATGAAGCACTGTTTTCAGTGGAGTTGAGCATAAGTAGACTTGCTCAACCATTAAATTTACCTTTAAAATTTGCAAAAAATAATAAAGGCTTGTTTACAGCTGTCTAGATGCCCGGCAGCTGTAGTTTTTACACGTTTTCTAGATGCCCGGCAGTCGGCACTCGGTCACTGGCTTCAAAAGACTAAATGCCCGGCAGTTATTTTTTTCTCACAAAAACAATAAAACCACTAAGATTGAATGTATCAAAATGTCTTATAAACATTGAGAAAGGTCGAGCGCTTGCTGTGAGATGAGTAGATTTAAATTTCAGTAAATTCTTTGGCCTCGGCACAGAATATGCCAAACAGACACGAATTTTTGAGGCTAGTGAGCGACTGCCGGGCATCTATAGTGTACTACACTAYGACCTTTGGTAACTAAATTATAGAAAAAGTTATAAGTGCTGATTTGAGGATAGTCTCCGAATATCTCAAAACAAACCGAAGAAGATAACAGATAGTTTGACTTTAAAATAACTTGGAAATCCGGGAAAGGGATCGAAGTTGATATGGCAGCTTTGGCACTCAATACACTTACTCAAAATACACTCATTATAGCAGCTTTCACTCGTTTGGTTTATGCCACGTAATCTGTGTCTTTAATCTCAATCTCTCAGAGATTGTAYAGTATACACAATGCGCTTGTGATATTCTTACCTTCGAGGAGAATCMAACATAAATATGCCASATACATCTCGAAACAACGTCGAAACTGCACTGAAKCAGCCAAGTGCCTTTTAATTTTAAGCACTAGTTAGATTATGTTTAAATGGGTGAGCATGATGTCATCTCAAGTATTTCCACTACATTAATTCAAACTCGTGGTCACGCATTTCAGTGACTCGCTTTTTGCTTTTTGTTGTCGTTTTCCTTGATTACTCTTTCAATGGAATTTGCCTCGTACACTATATGTTTTATTGAATTTATATTTTTTTTATAAACTAAACTCCATTTAACGGAGAAATAATCAATAGATATAAAATAAACAAGGTACTGAAAGCGGAAACAAATGTCAGTCCAGTGCTGAGA